GTTCAATGCCAAACATCACGGTCATCGAGCAGACCCTTTTACTTAATCGATGATCCTATCCGGAGCTTGATAGGAAATCCTTCTCTATTGTCAGTTTTTTACTGCGACAACATATCCCAAATCAGTTAAGAAAGTAAACATCTAGCATTATAGAATACCAAGAGTCACCTCCACCTTAATTAGTTCACCAACATATGACGTGACCAACTAGCATAACAAAGACAGTATTCCTCAAAATGTATTCTGCAGACTGTCCTTGCCTTATGTCTATCTTCGTAGTTAGAGAAGAAATGTTGCATATAAGTCAACAAGTGTATGTACTCCATTTTCTTAGACCTATCTTTTGTAGCTTACAGACCATAATTTCGTTGAGTTGATGTGAACAGCAAGCACTACATCTTGTGATCTCTCGGCTTAATTTAAGTGAGGCACTTTCTTCCACTAAATCTCGTATTAGTACTGTCACCTCCGACAAAAATGCACTAAGTTCACATATTATTTTTACATATGAGTAGTATTGCCAGTTCATTAACCATGTATCCTATCATAATCGCCATCATTCAAACAAAGGCCAGGTAACAGCAAAGGGTGGTCTCTTATTGCTTCTAAAAGGAGTGCACATACAGCTTATCTGGATGTCTTACTTTACTATGGGGACTTAACCCATGACTTTTGAGCGCCATCCAGCAATGACGTCCTCTGGCAGGCCCCGAGTATTGACAAATGAATCCATTGAGAAAATAGTCTGCAACAAAAAATTCAAATGTTACAGTTAAGATAGGATGTTCAAGATCCACACTCCTGAATAGTATGCCCAAAAAACATAAGATATTAACAGTCAGATAGCTGACGTAATACAATAATAATCTATGTTAAAAATATTAATACAATAATATTCCGGTTTCTCTAAGGGAAACTTGCACCATGTAGTCAGCATAAAAATAGGCCATCATGACTTCTAAATAAGTAGGCCACGTGTATTATATTAAACTCATAATTAAGCATGGCCAGTCGTTCATATAAATGCCGGAATGATCTAAATAACATTCAGACATTCAGTTTCCGTCTGCTTAGTCATGATTTGTACTAAATAGTGAAGGGCAGAGCACACGTGCCATAAAAATACTCAGGAACTAGTATTTTCTGCTTATGCAACAGATAGAAAGATAAAAAAGCAAATGTGAATTTCTTGTACAAGATAAAAACATACCAAAGCCAGTTACACCTTTGATAACTAGTTAACTACCAATGACACATGTACCTTTGATTGTTACACTAGGTGAAAGATGGCATTAAACTCCACTCATTCATATCATTAAGTACCAACTACCAAAAGAACAAATGTAAATTCTTGTACAAGAAGAAAAAACATACCTTCATGTATGTTTTCACATGTGCAAGTGCATCTGGGACAGACCAATTCTTATAGTGACCAAGAGCAATCTCCATGTGATATAATTTCGGAGCAAGAGAGAGATCAGCAGCAGAAATTGTTCCACCATTGATAAATGGACCCTGCATTAAACAGCATCCAAGATCAATATCTAGCAATTTTAATCTATACAGGCAAAGGCAAGTAAATACTAAATGTCAACAACAAAACTAATGATTATAAAAACTACTAACATGACTATATATCGTTACTGCAATAGGTCAGCATAAGGTATCTGAAGAACTATGAATATCAAACTCGAGTATGCCTTCATGAATGTGCACACTGGCAATAATTTCTAGTACGAGGAGAAACAGTAGAAATAACCTTAGGTATATACGGAATTAAGGCCTGGGGGGTACCTTTAACAAGAAAGAAAAAAGAATCTAGTAATGGGCACATTAGAGCCACAAACCTGCTAGTGGTAACAAAAATGCCTAACATGAAGTACCCATACACGCTCGCACTGTTGACCTAGAACCATGTGTACTCCCATTTTTACATGATTCGGCTACAAACCGAAAGACTTTTATGCAAGCAGATATCAAAGCGAGAGAAAGAACCAAGCTTATTCCTTGATTTTTTGTTCAATTAGCTCAATAAGTTTAATTCACATTCGTGTGTATTACACATATGATATATAAACCTAAGTACAATTTTAATGTGAGTTTGCAGTTCCCCTATTCATTCCTATAAATGCAATAATATACAGCCTTCCAGGGGAGACGTTTGCTCAGGCTCATATGCTCTGTATTAACAGCAAATAGGAAAAGATAGTAAAAAAGAAATCTGAAATCATATGCTTCTGATTTTTATTTTTATTTTATTTTGCCCAGACCACCACAAATGTCTTTTATTCAAAAAAAAAAAGCATGCAGTTAGAAGACACATCCATGTTCATTGTAAAAAAAAAGGATTTTCTCCTCTTTTTTTAATTTTTTTCGATTTTAGTGTTCACTCGGGAGCATATGAGCCTCAACCCGTTTTGATTTACCATACTTTTTCCCAACTATTGTAGGAAGTACTTATTTTGCATTTGTTTTCGTGTTTGCAAAACCGATGGCATGTAAGGCATACAGATGGATAAGATTGTGACACTCCACATATTTAAATCACTGTACAAATATGGAAAGCAGATAGGGCTACAGCATTGCAGAAGTAGCTATTCTCATCAAACCAATACTGGTTAGACTATCTCCTGAGACATTGATATTACCACTAAGCACACTTACATTGTCTTTTAGATAACTATCGAATGAAGTCAGCTCACTAAGTAGTGTCTGTTCTGTTCCATCATTGGTATCTTTGCTCTTGAGAAAGCCAACGAATGTGGAGAATATTTTTGATCCTCTGCAAAAAAAAAATTGTGCAAAATTGTTAGGATGGCAGTACTAACTATGAAATCCCGGCTTAATAGGAATGATAGACTACTCATATCAACAAGGTGCACGTTCTTTTCTAGGAGCCCATGTGAAAGGAACTTCAAAATTAAGCACGCTCGGCTTGGAGCAATTTGAGGATGGTGTGACCGACCGGGAAGTTGATCCCAGGCTAGTGATTGTATGTGGGGCTAGTATAGATCCCAGGCGCAACGGCCAGGAACCGGTGGGTTTAGGGCGTTACAATTGGTATCAAAGCCGACCCTCATGGTTACATGGGTGTGCGCAGGTCAGTGATGCATACATGGGGCACATGTGGATGCTGACACTGGCGTGCACAGACGTGTCACGTGTGCCAAGAGGGAATGTTCCTGCTGGGCCGACGGGGACATCGGTTCCTTTGAGGGGGTGTATGTGACATCTCGGCTTAATAGGAATGATAGACTACTCATATCAACAAGGTGCACCTTCTTCTCCGGGAGCCCAACCGAAAGGAACCTCAAAGTTAAGCTTGCTCGGCCTGTAGCAATTTGAGGATGGGTGACCGACCCGGAAGTTGATCCCAGGTGCGCACGTGTGGACAGGAAAGACTGTTGTTGGTATGTGGGTCCAGTTTAGATCCCAGTCGCAAGGGCCAAGAATTGGTGGGTGAACCAGTGGGTTTGGTCGGGGCGTTACACCAACACAAACGCCTTATAGTAAAAAAAAATCCAGAACCAAAAGTAACAAAAAAGGGCCATAGGCTATAACTGTGGACAGCATAGAGATATAATCATGTAAGAGATGTGCATGCTACAATTACTAATTTCATGTAATACTATTGATAAAGGCACCAGAAATACGACTTACATTGAAGCCTTTTCTGGTGGAGTTGCCAAGGATGGTTGAGGATACTTTTCTTCTAACACTTGTGTTATAACATCAGAATCAGCAATCCATTTGTCCTCGAGCTTTACAATAGGCACCTTACCTTCTGGGTTAATTGTAAACAACCTGGTGAAGTGCCAAAAAAAGATGACTGGCAATGGAACTATCAACAAAGGTAACAGCCACTAATAATATGAAATTCAAGAGGTTAGTTTTCTCATCCAGATGCGTACCAATCTGGTTTGTTAGCAAGATCAACTAGTTTTAATTCATAAGGCAGGTTTTTCTCCTCTATCGTCAACAAAACTCTCTGCGTGAAAGGACCTGCGAGCAACATGTAAACTTAACACAGAATAAAGATGTTTAAACAATAGATTATTAAAGTGATAGAATATGCAATGCAGCCAAATTTATCAGTTAGGGCATTGCACTCCTAATATCACAGAAGACGGTAGTTCATGCTCTTGGATTCTAGGAATACACTGCTGCCCACATGTTGTTGTTCTTTTGTAAAAATTCAGACGCCAATATAGATGGCCATCACTGACTTGCAGGATGAATACTTTTATTTTTTTTAAATGATTACTGACAAAAAAATAACAGTGTGGTATGTCTTATTACTCTAATCAAGTGAAATGTGTAGTTATTACACCCACCCACAATAAAGCATTTATGTAGTGATGTAGACAGAGTTTGCTTGGTCTCTAGTCCATTATGAAACCCGATCATTTCAAATGACATAGGCTGACAAATTACTTGAAAAAAGGTGCTACGGTTAGTCTGCATAATAGAATCTTAAATATCTATAACTTATTAGTATGCAGCCAGACCCCGGTAACTTTTGGTAAACCCAAAAAACAAATCATAGGAGTGTTAGCATATTTTGTAGTCCGGCGAATACCTAATATGAAAGGGTGGCGGTTCCACTGAGGAATAAACTGAAAGGACTCAACAAAATTCTTAGCCTGACAAACTAGCAATATAGTACCAGAGTCATCATCAACATTCTCGAAAAATTCAAGACAACTAGTGAAGATGAAGAATTACCAAGAAAAAACGAATCAATTTCCTATAGTGCATTGGGTAAACCAATTATGTTTACATATATAGATCTTATGGACAAGTACTTGACACCCAAAAACACAGGGATGGTAACTCAGAGAATCACACAAACCCGAATGCCGTTTGTCAAATCTGGTTCAGCCCCAACTATGCGCTGTAACAACTAGAGTACAACCACTTCGCTGACTCTGATATCTCCTTTGTTCCATGCGTTCCATCACATGGATATGGGAACAAAATATGCTAACCACTGTGCCACTAAACTTCAAACCATCAAATATCCTATTGCAGTTTTCCCCAATTCTTTTGCACAGCTGAGTATACTTCTGCCCAAACCAAAAGCAGAGCAAAAACAACGGAGATGCCATCTACAATTCTACACTACCAATACGTCCAGTCCCTTGCATTTTCAATGCATATGCCATAAACAAATCGAGCGAGCGGGCACACAGATGGAGAGAGAGCTCACAGTCGCCGAGGCGGTCGGGGACGGTGATGGAGGCCTTGGCGCAGACCTCCAGCGGCTCGGCCGAGGCGCGGGCAGTGAAGGCGCGGCGCGGCGGCGAAGCGCGGGCCGGGAGGAGGCGGCGGCCGCGGCGGAAGGTTGTGGCGAGGAGGGTCGAGGAGGAGCCGGCGGTGGTGGCGGTGGCGCAGGTGGTGGTGCGGAGCAGGACAGCCATGACTAGAAGCTGGTCCCCGGTGTCAGGCGGCGGCGAGCTGTGGGAGGAGAGGTGGAGGCGGAAGGAGGGCTTATCTCGGCGGGCGTGATACGTGCGCTTCCTTCGGATTCCCCGTGCGTCTCCGTCTCCAGAGGCTTCTCGTCGCGGGTTTTCCGTGTGAGGCGTGAAGCATTTGGAGCCCATTAGGCCTTCTTGGATCCATTTAAGTTTTTTCAGTCACCATTTAAGCCTTCTTACCTTCTTGGTTTTCCCTCAAAAAAAAAAACCTTCTTGGTTTATCCGAAATCACAGGTAAGGGTACCTTTTGCAAAAGTCACTCTCCCCTTCTCTTGTGGTAACAATTAACTCATTTTGCAGGTGTGATACTTGTCGTAACTTAGGAGTTTTGTGTTTTTTCGTTCAGTTTTTCTCTTGTCATGTGTCCAAATCACGAGTTGCTTTCGCCGTTGCATTTATCGCGTCGAGCTATTTGAATCTAGATCCCATGTTAATAGCTTGAACGAATTTTTTCTTTCGAAAAGCCGAAAATCGAAAGAACAAAAAAAGAGAAACCAAACCAACGACAAATCAGAAGAAAACAAACCGGAAACCCGAAAAAACAAACATGAACCGAATAAAACAGAAATAGAAAGCACAATTGTGCTTTTCACCTTTTCTTTAAGCACAATTGTGCTCCCCTTTCATTTTTCAAGAAACAAAGCTTTCTTTTCGTGGAGGCACAACTGACATTTTCACTTTTGAAAAGGACAGTTGTACTTCTCAACAAAGCACGATTGTGTTTTTCGCTTTTCAAAAACAAAAACACAGATGTGATTCACACCAAAGCACAGTTGTGCTTTTCCGTGAAGCACAACTTGTTGAAAAAATAATATGCGATTTCAAATATTATTAAAATTCAAAATAAATATATTATTTTGAAAAAAAATCATCTTTAAAAAAATCACAAATTCGAAAAACTGAAATAAAAAATGTTTTCAAAAATGTTCATGATAGAGAAATCATGCTCGAATTTCATAAAAACGTTTCTAATTGTAAAAATTATTTTTTGTTTTCCACTAAAAGTTCCATATTTTTTAAATGTTTGGAGTTTCAAAAATTCATGTTTTTTGAAAAATATTTTCGCTTTTAGAAAATATTTTAAATTTCACAATTTGTTCTCAAATTTTCTTTTTAGAAATATCTGCTACAGTAACATAGGCCGATTCCCTCCAATGCTTCATCGTTGCATATGCAAGCTCTTCACTCGTGCGCCAATGGGCCAGCCCAGTCGGGCGGCCGCCTCTTCACTTCCGAACAATCTGCCGCTTACTGCCGCACATAGGAGCTACAGCAAACCGGTGCACTGTAACTAGCCAGTTCACTACAGTGAACATTTTTAAAATCTGAGAACACTTCTTGATAAAAGCAAACACTATTTTAAAAATTGTCATTTTTTGAAAAGCCCCCGAAAAATCAAAACAAGAACAGTTTTGAAAACACGTACAATTTTTTAATTCCAATTTTCTTAAAACGAAGATTTTTAGAAAAACATAACTTTTTTAAAAAATCCGAATATTTTAAGAAAAGATCGAACATTTTTATTAAAAAGGAAGCATTTTGTGCACAAAAAATCAAAATATTTTATTACGAAATAATCATTTTTCGAAATGTATGAACACTAAAATAAAAATCAAAAATTGTAACAGAACCTTCTAGAAGGTCCCTAAACACGTAAAACCCAGACAAGAACCTTTTGGAATATTCCTAAACTGAGATTGGCCCTTTTCTCATTCACTTGTCGTTCCTCTCAATGAAGTGCCAACTGTTAGAGACACAATGCGTCAAATAGGGATTTGTGAATTTTGCCACCCGCTCGATGAGGCAAGCACGCCTTGTACTCCCTCTGTTCCGAATTACTTGTCGCAGGTATGGATGTATCTATAGATACATCCATTACTGCGACGAGTAATTTGGAACGGAGGGAGTAGGTGCCTTATCTGTTTGGCATTTTGTCTGTGGGCTTTTCGGCGACGTGATCTTTTCGCGGGGGGAGGGGGGCAGCATGGGCTGATCCGCGTAACAAATAATATGAGCGGGTGCGGCTATACGGGCGCTCCTAACTGGCGCCTTCAGCGCCGGCTGGAGTTTCTGGCGCCCACGCTCTTCCTAATATGGGCCGGCCCATGACGTGGCAAAAACCGAAGCGCTCGCTGCTCACAACCAAAACGCTCGAAAAAGAAGCTGAGCGAGGGAATCGAACCCGCATGTTAGATTCCTCTATGCATCTTGCAAACCACTTGACTATCCACATACTCGTGATTTAATTCACCGCAAACATTATAATAATAACAGTAGCCGCGCTATTTGTGTATCAATTCTATTTTGGGAATTAATTGACAAGAATTTGGATAAACGTGATTTTCTTTCAAAAAAAGGAAAGTCAATTTGGATAAACATGATTTTCTTTAAGAAAAAGGAAAGTTCACAGATTTCAAAAGGAGTTTCATGAACAAGCAAAGGAACATTGGTCTATTCAAAAAAAGTTCACGAATTAGAAAAATGTTCACATATTCACAAAGTTCATAAACATGGAAAAAAGTTCACTAATTTGAGAAACAATTTCAAGAATTCAAAAAATGATCGTGAGTTTGAAAACATTCATCGTTTTGAAAAATAGTTCATTGAATTTGGAAAAAATCTTCGAATTTGAGAATAGTTCATCGAATTGGAGAAAAGTTCATCGACTCTAAAAAAAGTTCATAGAACGAGAAAAAAGTTCATCGAATTTCAAAAAAAGTTCACCAAATTTGAGAAAAGTTTGTATAATTTGAAAAAACGTTCATCGACTTTGAAAAAAGTTCATCAAATGTGAGAAAAGTTGATCAAATTTCAAAAAATGTTCCTCAATTTTGAAAAAATGTTCCTCAATTTTGAAAAAATGTTCGTCGATTCTAAAAAAAGTTCATCGATTCTGAAAAAAGTTCATCTTATTCATCTTTGTGAACCTTTTTCAAAACCGATGAACTTTCAGAAAAGTTCATCGGTTTTGAAAAAGGTTCACAAACTTCAAAAAAAATTTATCAAACTTGAGAAAAAGTTCATCGAATTTCAACAAATACCACCGAATTTGAAAAAAGGTCATCTTATTTGAAAAGATTTCATTGAATTTGAAAATAGTTCACATATTTGGAAAAATAAAAGTTCATCAAATTTGAAAAAGTTCATCGAATTGGAAAAAAAGTGCATGAATTTTGAAAAAAGTTCATCAAATTTGAAAAATAGTTCACATATTTGGAAAAAGAAAAGTTCATCAAATTTTAAAAAAGTTCATGAATTTTGAGAAAAGTTCATCAAATTTGAAAAAACGTTCATAAAATTCCGTGAATTTTTTATATCGAATTAGAAAAATAAAAATAATAAAGAAAATGGAAAAAGGAAACGAGTAAATAAATGAAGAAAGAAGAAATAAAAAAGAAAAAAAGAAAAGGAGAAGCAAAAAGAATAGGAAAAGGAAAAACGACAAAGAATAGCACAAAGAAGAAGCTGCAGATTATCAAAGAGCTCCACTTGCTGGGGTGGTTAGCTAGTGTTGCGCGGGATCGAATCCTTGTCAGCGCCTATTTTTTGCAGTTGTATACGTATGAAGGAGAAGAAATGAACATGGGCTGGCCCATCGGGGACGGGGGGGTGTGCGCCATGTACCATTAACACTATAACGCTTACAGTGAGGGAACCTTCCGACTCAATGAAGTGCGTACAGCATGGCCCAGCCCAGTTCATGGGAGGCCACGGCCTCATTTTTTCTTCTTTCTTTCATGTTCCTGTTTTAGTTTTTTATCATGTTTCTTTTGTTTATACTTCCACATATTCAAAATAACTATAAAATAAAAACCAATTTGCGCAATACATTTGAAAAATCCTAAATTTAATTAAAAATATTAATCCAAGCATTTGAAAAAATGTGGAACAGGTATTTGAAAAAAATTATATTAGTAGGTTGCGACCTTGTTAAAGAAAAATAATCTGTTTTCAAATATTTTCCCAGTTTTTTTTTTAATTTTTACCAGTTTTCTTTGTTCCTTTCTATAAAAAGTTATTTCTTTTCCGTTACTCACTAGTTTTTTCCTCTTCTTTCATTTCTCTTTGTTTTTTTCGTTTTTCATTGTGTTTTCTTTTGTTTTATCTCGGGTACTTATTGGTTTTGTATAAACATTTTTGGTACAAATCTAATACATTTTTCTAATCCATGTTTACCATTTTTGAAATAAAACATTAACATTTATTAATACATAGTCAACAAGTTTTCTCTATACATATAACGTTTTTCAAATGTTAGATTATAATTTTTTAATACATATCCAACATTTTTTGTATACACATTTAAGCTTTTTCCAAAACCTAGATTTAAAATTTTAAATACAAGTTTAAGAACTTTTCAATATATGGACAACATTTTTGCATACATTTAACATATTTTCAGATAATTGATTAACCTTTTTCAAATATAAGATTAATATTTTTTGAATACATGGTAAACATTTCTTTAACACACATTTTACTATTTTTAAATGCTTCATTAAATAATTTAAAAGGTAAATTTAACATTTTTTAATACATGCTCACTTTTTTTTTATTTACAATTTAACATTTTCCAAACGCTATATTAACATTTTTTCACAAACAAGTTTAATTTTTTTTAATACATGCTCAACATTTTTTATACACATTAAAAAATTTCAAATGCTTGATTATCATTTGTCAAATAATTTCTAGATCTTTTTAAAATGCTTCGGTTAACATTTTTTAAATACACGGTCATTTTTTCACACACATTATATATTGTTTGTATAGATAAAACATTTTCTCTGTGTTCATTTAACATTTTAAAGTGCTTGGTTAACATATTTTTTGCAAATGTTTTATGTAAAGTGTTTGGTTTAATATATTTATTTATAATATTTAGAAGTACAAAAATATAAGAGAAAAAAACAAAAAACGTCGAAAAATAGGTTGTGGCCTCC